TTATTTCTTTATTTCTATATCGAGCTTAATAGAATAATTTGAAACATCATGAATTATATAAAATATCTGATATAGAAATTTCATATTTTTTATTATATAATATTTCATAAAATATCAGATATAAAATTTTATAATAATGAAATGAAAATCTATATCGCGAATATTGAAATTATATATTATTCAAATTTTTATTTATGCAAAAAATATTTTGATGATAATAAATAGAATTTGAAATTTTTTATGAATAATTTGATATTAATCTCAATAATAATAAAATCTATTTTATTAGTGAATTCTAATTTTTCCAATATTTTTTATACATTCTCAATTCTAAAAAATTATATAGTGATATTTTTTCAATTGAATCAATAATCTCTAATTTGAAAAAATTCTGTATCTTTTTGATTCTATTTTTTGAAATGAATTCGAAATCTTTCTTCTAGAACCTCCATAAATCTCCTTCTTGGGCAGCACGTCTCAATTTCCAGCTTGTTATTTCTTTCAATTACAAACTACTTGCAACAAAAAATCTTGTATTTGCGTGAACCGACCTTAAATGGTGGATCTGGCCAAATTTTCCAGTCGGCTCTTTTTCAGATCCAGCCAAAACAATATGCAGGGACATGAATAAGACTCTTCTCAGCGGCATGGAGGGTCTCAACTCATGGGCACGCTCGAGAATCCACCAGGTGCCTTTCTCATCAAGACGTTCTCACAAGGAATTCCAAGTTTGATCGGTAGCAGGTCTCCAAGCAGAGTGCCATCTTCTTCATGTTCGAGAAATGGTTTCCCCTAAGAACAAAGAAAGTGCGGCAAGCCTTGTTCCTGCTTCTCCCATCTAATCCATGCATCTTTCAACATCTTGGAGTCGACTGCACCAAGTTTTGTGTCTGTCGCGCCATTTGCGATAAGGACTCCCCAAACCACTTCTGCTGTCTGGAAATGACCATCACCAGTGTTGGCACCTACTCCAAGCTCGAAAAGTCTTGAAGTTCGAACTCACCAACCACAGGCGCTGTTTCACTGCTTAAGAACGTGCTGTCCGGCAGCAACTGCGAGCTCAACGCCCAGTTCCAGTTCATCTCCTTCAACACGACCGACGGCCTGGCCAACCTGGCCATCGAGCCCAACATCGGAGGTTCGAACGACGGCGAGGTGATCTTCGGCTACGGCTTCGTGAACCTGAGCGACCGGGCCCTCAAGGAGAACGTCCGGGCCATCCCGGAAGAGGAGCTGCAAGAGACCTTCGATGCCGTGGAACCGCAGCTCTTCGACCGCATCGACGGCGGCAAGGAGCAGATCGGCTTCGTGGCCCAGGACGTGCAGGCCAGTGGGAAGCTGGGCGCGACGATGTGCAAGACGAAGAACCTGGACGGCCGGGAGCTCATGGCCCTCGACTACCAGAAGCTCTCCGTGGTCGAAGGGGGCGTGGTGAAGAAGCTGCAGAAGCGGGTGGAGAAGCTGGAGAAGAAGAAGCGCAAGGACAACTCGGATTAGAAAATGGCGGATGAGGAGGCGATCGGGCTGCTGCAGCAGCTGGCCCGGGACTTCAACGTGCGGGATTCCCGGAAGCTCTTCCAGATCGCCCCGCGGGAGTTCCCGGACCGGCGGGACCTCACCTCGGCGCGGGCCGCGGCCCTGCGCAGCGACGTGGCGAGGCAGATCCTGGCGCCCAAGCCGGAGCCTGGGGAAGAGTGCTGCGGAGGGGCCCAACGACCGACTGCAAGCGGACCTGGTGGA